GTGATCTTAGGGTCCATTACTAGAAGCACAAAATCTAGAATGAGGATTATGATGATCTTGCATGCTGTATACTGATTGGATCATTGTGTTCTGCTCTAAGTGCTTAGTTTTTTGATTACTTTTGCAATCAACAAAGATAGGATTTTTTTCCTTCCTGCCTCTCCTAATTCTTCATCTCCATTAATAAAGAAAGAAACCCCCCTGCTGCAAACATGGAGAGTCAAGCAAAACAAATTCTAGTATTAGTCATGACCTCTCACCCCTAAAAAAAATCTGTTTCAATCAGTACTCTGAGTCTGTCACTTCTTTGTCATGAAGGTGAGTAGTAAATTTCATCACGAGTTTTCTGTAATCATGGTTGGTCATTGAACTGATTACAGTTCCCAAGTCTTTCTTTTCAAAATTTTAAAATTTCTTTTATTTTTAATTTATGGAATAAAACAAGTATTTCCATAACTTGGTATAATAAAAAATATGATTACAAAGATGTTTGTCTTTATAACATATTGTAATTGCATAAATTGTTCTCCTGTTCCCGCTACTTCCCTCTGCATCAGTTCATACAAATTTTCCCCAGTTTCTCTGGAACTGTCCCCTTCATCGTTTCTTACAACATAATATTATTCTATCACATTCATGTACCATAACTTGTCTAGCCATTTCCCCAATTGATGATGGGTGCTACAGTTAAGGAAGGACGTGGATATTTTAGAATGTGTCCAGAAAAACAAAAAGTGGGGATAATGTGTCCAGAAAAACAAAAAGTGGGGATATTTAGCCTGGAGAAGAGAAGATTTGTTGGGGGAGGCGGAGTGACAATCTTCAACTATTTGAAGAGGCAGCATGTAAAGAGGAATTACAATTGTTTTATTTATCCATAGAGATAAGAACTACCACTTTTGGATGGAAATTACAGAAAGGAAGAGTTTGATACCATATAATGTAAAACTTCCTAATAATAAAATCAAATCCCAAAGTGGAATGGATTATATCAGGAGGCAATGCATTAGTGTGTGCATGAATTGGAAGAATGTAAAATAATTTGTTTAATTGACTCATCTACTAAAATCTACAACTTTTTCCATCTTTAAAGAACTTTTAATAGGCAACATATCCCCTGTTTTCTTAATCTCTTGGTTTACATGATTTGGCATTGAGTTTACAAGATTTGATACATTTACTTCAATTTGTCATCAAAAAGTTAGAATACATTAGATAACAAACATACCTTTGATGGACAATTAATTTTTCCCAAGTCAAGCATAGGCTATCAACTGTAAGTTTTCAATGGGGTTAATTCCAGTGAGCCCCTAGGTTAGTGAAGCATATTTATCTCCATCTCTGGGATAAATTTATTAAGCTTTTGTTAAATGGCATAATGTAATGCTGGGTTGTGGTATTCCGTCTCCATTTAAGAATTTCTTTAATTTTGGAACAATTTTATTTCTTGCTATGGCAATATATTTAATTGGGGTTCAGCATTCCTATTGATGGAGGTGAGACTTTCAAGCTCATTGGAAGTGAAATATCCCCTAAAACATTTTTGGGTGGATATTGTATAGTCTGATGAAGAAGTTGAGATCTTACTGGCTCAGCAGGCTTGCTGTTGACTATGACCTTAATATAGTCTTGAATGAAAAAATGGTAACATCATCATTAAAAAGTAGTCTAGTCTTTGTGTTCTCTTGCTGGTGACAAGACAAGGCATAGCAATGTTTTATAGCAGTTACACACCCATACATACATGTATATATGTACATATACATATATACATACATGTGTATATGTATATATACATATATATACACACATAAACATAACAATTTTTTTTTACTGATCTTATGAAAACAGTCAAAAAGAGATACTCCTCACCTCCTAGGAGAGACTTCTAGTGTCTCTCACTAAGCCCTAGTTCTGTATCACCGGCTGCCTATTGGATATCTCCAACTGGTTGCCCCATAGACATCTCAAATTCAACATGTCCCAAATGTAGCATATTATTCCTCCCACCACCCCTGATTCACCCATTCTCCAAACTTCCCAAGTCTTCTACAAACTTTTTGTGGAGGCGCAACTATTCTTTTAGTCTTCTGAGTTCAAAAATCTTGAGTCATCCTCAAATCTTCTCTGCCCTTCACTACTGCGTTCAGTTAATAGGCAAATCTCAGTATTATGTCCATGATATCTCTTGCACCTAATTCCCTCTCTCCATTCCCACAACCACTCATTCAGGGTCTCATTATGTCTTCCTTGTAATATACTGCAGAAGCCTCCTTACTAGACTCCTAGCTTTCTATTTTCCCTAACTCCTATTCTATTCCCTTAATCCATTTTCCTCACTCCTATTTAAAAACCTTCAAGTAGCTCCCTATTTCTCAACCTCTGATGAAATGTCATGAACCATCTGGGTCTCAGAAAACTGATGAAGGAATAGACTTGGCTTGACATTTTAATCCCATTCCAGTTTGGTTCAAGCTCCCCCTTCCAGGTTTATTGCATGTTACTTCCTTTTATCTGCCTACTTTCTGGATCAGCCTATTGGCTGTTCCCCAAACTTGACATTCCATCTCCTGTCTCCATGCCTGGAATCTACTTCTTTACTATTGCCTCACTGAACTCCTAGCTTCCTTCGAGTATCAGCTCACACATGCGATAGTCTGGTATTTGACTTAAATAATGACAAAATTGTCAACAGCAGATTAAGGAATATTCCCACAGGTGGTTGATCCAGGGAGCAGGCATTAGTCTTCACCTGGGTATAATTAGGGGAAGAAGGGCCTCTATAAGGAGCACATAGGAGTTGGAACTGGATGTCCAATAGATTTCTTAAACTCAGCATGCCCAAAACTGAACTAATGTTTCCTATTATTGTAGAACCATTCTGCCCCCCCACATCAAATCTATTTCTGTGACCTATTGATTTTACCTTTGCAACATTTCTACAATACACTCCCTTCTCTACTCTGACCAGCATCATCACTTCGTGCTTGGGTTATTGCAGTAGCTTGCTGGTAGGTTACTCCCTCCTCAATCCACCCTCCATTCAGCCACTAAAGTAATTTTCCTACAGCACTGGAGCAATCATACAAACTACCTCCCATCCCCATTCAATAAACTCTGGTGGCTCCCTATTGCCTCCAGGCAAATGCAAAATCCTGGTTTGTCTTTCAAAGCCCTTCATGATCTAGACCCCTTCTACCTTTCTAGTCTTCTTATATTTCACTCCCCAACACGTACTCTTCAGTCCAGTGACACTGACCTCCTAACTATTTCATGAACACAATACTTCATCTCTTAAGTCTAAGCATTTTTACTGGCTGTCCCCCATGCCTGGAATTCTCTACCTCCTCAACTCTATCCACTGACTTCCTTGGTTTCCTTTAAGTTCTATCTAAAATCCCACCTTCTATGGGAAGCCTCCTCCAACCTCTTTTTAATTCTAATCCTTTCTTTTCTCAATTATTTCCCATTTACTTTGTCTATAGTTTGCTTTGTCTATATTTGTTTGCATGTTGTCTATCCCATTAGACTGTAAACTCCTTGAAGGCAGGGATTGTCTTTTGAACCTTTTTATATCCTCCAGTTTAGCACAGTGCCTGGCACATATTTGTTTTTCATTGGTTCAGTCACATCCTACTCTTCATAACTCTGTGGACCACAGCACACCAGGCCCTTCTATCCTGCACTATCTCCTGAAGTCTGTTCCAAACTCATATTCATTGCTTCCATGATGCTATCTATCCATCTCACCTGCTGCTGGTCCCTTCTTTTGCCTTCAGTCTCTCCCAGCATCGGGGTCTTTTCCAAGGAGTCCTGTCTTCTTATTGGCTAAAGTATGTAAGCTCCAGCTTCAGTTTTTGTCCTTACAATGAGGAGTCTGAAATATTTTTTTCAAGTATTGACTGATTTGATCTCTTTGCTGTCCAAGGGACTCTCAAATGTTTTCTTCAGTGCTACAACTCAGTGCTCAGCTTTCCTTGTAGCCTAAATTTCACAGTCATACGTTACTACTAGAAACACCATAGCTTTGCCTACCCAGACTTTTGTTGGCCAGGTGATGACTCTGCTTTTTAGTATGCTGTCCAGATTTGCCATAGCTTTCCTTCCAAGGAGCAAATGTCATTTAATTTCGTGGCTGCAGTCGGCATCTGTGGTGATCTTTGAGCCCAAGAATATAAAATCTGACACTGCTTCCATTTCTTCTCCCACTGTTTGCCAGGAAGTAATGGGACCAGTTGCCAAGATCATAGTCTTTTTTTTTTTTAATGTTAAGCTTCAAGCCTTTACACTCTCCTCTTTCACCCTCACCTGGCACATAATAGGTGTTTAATAAATGTTTATTGATTGATTGCCCCAAGCTTGGGAGCTCCTCAGATCTGACAGAACCCATCTCTGGCTCCCTGTTGGCCACCTCTACTTACTTATCTATGCAGATAATGGGAGGCCCCAGGAATTGTGCTCATTATATCTTTGTGCTGCTGCTTAACTGAGGCAACAGTTGGCCATATATTTAAGACCTGATCGCTTTATGGTATCAGAATAGGATAGACTTTGAGTCTCAATCTCAAACTTTTAGATTGTGAGTTCCTTGAGAGCCTGGGGTGTCTTGTTTCTTTTTGCATCCCTAGCACTTAGCACTGTACTTTGGACATACCGAGTGCTTAATAAATGTTTATTGACTTATGTGCTACACTCAAGAGGAAGTTTTTCCTTGTGTCCTTAGGTGTTAGGGCTCAGTCCCTTCTCCAATGACCACACATATATCTCCCACTTTAGAAGTTATATTCCATCACTCCTCGATCCCAGTAGATTGTAATCTCCTTCAGGGTAGAAACTATTTTAATGCTTCATAGATACTTGTCACATTTGATGGGTCGATCTCTCCTAATGCTGAGCTTTGTATTCTATAATTTTGTGGTTGTATTCTTGTGTATACACTTGAGCAATTTACTTGTTTTTCAGATTGCTTCAGTAATACATCTTATTTTCTTTTCTTTCAGAGTCAGGAGCAATACAGTGATGTAACAAATAAAAGCAACCAGATTTTCCTTTACTGTGCATTTTTGGACTTCAGGTATGTTGTCAGTAATTTGAAATTAATAATAGTAATAGCTAACATTTATATAGCACTTACTACGTGTTGAGCGCTTTACAAATATTACTCATTTGGGCCTCACAACAATCCTGGGAGGTGGATGTTATTATTATCCTCATTTTATAGGTGAAAAAACTGAGGCAGGCAGAAGTAATTGATTTGCCTAGAGTTACACAGCTAGGAAGTGTATGAGGTTGGATTTGAACTCATGTCTTCTTTCCTGAGTCTTGGCCAGAACTATATGTACTGTGCCACTTAGCTGCCTCTAATGGATGAAGATGAAGAAGGAGGAGAAGGAGGTAATGATGATGATGATGATGATGATGATGTGTGTGTGTGTGTGTGTGTGTGTGTGTGTGTGTGTACATGTGTGGGTGTATGGAGTATAAGAAAAAGGAAGAGAGAGAAATCTTTTAGGTGACTAGAGATAAAATTGAGGGTAATATTGATTATCTCCAATTTATCCTGTCTAAATCTTGTTTTTACGAAGTAGTTTGCATGTGGTCTCCCCATCTCCCCAGTAGATTATAAGCTCCTAGAAGGTAGGGGCTATTTTTTACTTTTCTTTATATCCTCAGCACTTAGCACAGTGCCTAGCACATAGAAGTTGCTTAATAAATGCTTATTGACTACCCAGCAAAACTGAGTATAATCCTTTAGGGGAAAAAATGGTCATTCAGTGAAATAGAGGACTTTCAAGCATTCCTGATGAAAAGACCAGAGCTAAACAGAAAATTTGACTTTCAAATACAGGATTCCTAGTGGAACACGAAGAGGTAAACAGGAAAGAGAACTCATAAGAGACTTATTAAGATTGAACTGTTTACATTCCTGCATGGAAAGATGATATTTGTAACTCATGAGAACTTTGTCAGTATTAGGGTAGTTGAAGGAAAAAAATTGTATGTACATATATAGATAGATAGATAGAGGGCACAGGGTGAGTTGAAGATTAAGGGGTCATATCTGTAGAATAAAATTAAGGGATGAGAGAGGATGATACTCGGAGAAGAAAGGGAGAGGTAGAATGGGGTAAATTATCTCACAAAAAAAAAACAGAAAAGAAAAGTCTCTCACAGTGGAGGGGAAACAGGGGAAGGTGAGAGGGAATGAAGGAATCTTATTCTCATAGGATTTGGCTTAAGGAGAGAATAACATACACATTCAATTGGGTATGGAAATCTGTCTTACCCTACAGGAAAATAGGGGGAGAAGGGGACAAGAGAGCAGGGGGTGATAGAGAGGAGGGCAGATTGGGAAAGAGGGTAATCAGAAGCAAATACTTCTGAGGAGGGACAGGGTCAAAAGAAAGAATAGAATAAATGGGAGGGCAGGATAGGATTAAGGGAAATAGAGTTAGTTTTTCACAACATGTCTACTAAGGAAGTGTTTTGCATAATTGCACATGTACAAGCTATATTGAGTTGCTTGCCTTTTCAATGAGGGTGGGTGGGGAGGGAGGAAGGAAGGGAGAAAATTTGGAACTCAAAGTTTTAAAAACACATGTTTTAAAAAAAATGTTTTCACATGCAACTGGGAAATAAGAAATGCAGGAAATGGGGTACAGAAGTCTATCCTGCCTACAGGAAAATAGAAGGGGAAGGGGATAAGAGAAGGGAGGGGGAGAGATAGAAGAGAAGGCAGACCAGGGGAAGGGGTATTCAGAATGCATGCCATCTTGGGGTGGGGGGAGGGGTGAGAAATTTGGAACTCAAAAACTTGTGGAAGTGAATATTGAAAACTAAAAATAAAGAAATTTATGTTAAAAAAATAAATGCTTATTGACTAACTGTAACGTGCATCCTAGGATGGGAGCTTCTGCAGAAGGTGCTAATTAAACTTTCATTCAGGTTATTTCCTGAACAATGATTGAATCAGTCAGCATTTTAAATTGTTTACTATAATCTAGACACTGTTCTAAGCACCTGGGAAAAAAGCAAAAAAAATCCCCCAAAACAAATAAGCAAACAAAAAAATCTCCAAGAATAATCTGTGCTCCCAAAGAGCTTACATTCTAATGGGGAGGAGGGAAAGGGAAGGCAACATATGTTATATGTAGATGTATATAGGATGTCACTAAAGTCTTAATTTAGTTTTAAGCTTTAATAAATTCAGGCATCTAAATGCTACAAATTTAAAACAAATGCCATTTAAAAGCTTAATTGTTTCCATTTTTGACATTTATTTAATTTTGTAAATTTTGAATTATAAAATTTTAATTTTAGTTTAATTTTTTGGATGACACTTTCTCTGATTGGTTATTCACTAGAGGAGGTCCTCATGTTTGCCCCTTGGATATCTGATTTATCTTCATTAGTCTTTTTTTTCTTGTTGAGAGTCACATCAAACCTGTCATGTCTGCATCAAAAGCCTCATTTTGGGGATGATCTTAAAGCTGGGATTACATATGCAGTTTTTCAGTCACTGAGCAGCCGCTGATGAAAGCTCTTACAAAGTTCAAAAATTGACTGGAGCAATGAAGTATAGCAAAAGATGGTGATTATCTTGAATTTTAATAAGAAACATATTTTAAAATTTTCAGTCATCAACCCTTCAAATGTTGTTTTTGGTAAGTTTGTAGTGCCTACACTTCAGAAGTTATTAAAGCTTAAAAGTGCACTAAAAACTTTGGGACACTATAAAACACATTCAGAAGGTAATCTTGGGGATGGCTAGGGGGTATAGCTAGAACACCAGGCCTAGAGTCAGGAAGATCTGAGTTCAAATCTGGCATCAGATCTTATAATCTTATGAGCTGTGTGATCCTGGGCAAGTCACTTCACCCTGTTTGCCTCAGTTTCCACATCTGTAAAATGAGCTGCAGAAGAAAATGGCAGACCACTCCAGTATCTCTGCCAAGAAAACCCCAAATGGGGTCATGAAGAGTCAGATGTGACTTAAGGACAACAACAGTTACAACTACAACTACAGCAACCAATCTCAGAGGGGAGGACAGGACACCAGCAGCTGCAGGGACAGGGACCAGTGCAAGGGGAGGAGAGTAGAAAGAAGCCAGGGATTCTAGGAGGCAGAGATGAGAGGGTGGATCCTTTGTCACCAACGGCCATGAGTCAAGAAGTCAATAATTTTCTCATTGAGTCCCATCCTCTGTGAGTCCTTCAAGGTCTTGAATTACTTCGATGACCTCTGGAGTCCCCTCCACCTCAGAGATTCTGAGAATCTTGAGAAATAGGACAAGAGAAATTGCTACAAGAGGCTGCTGGGAAAAATATATATTTTTTAAAGATACGAAAGACCAGGGCATGTCAAGTGTTCATTACCTCCTTCTCATCAAGTTAGTCCTTCTTCATACTGTCTTTTGCATCAATTGCTTCCTTTCCATTCCCAGAAAATCCCCCGGCCCTCCCTCATCACCTGTTGTAGGTCATTCATCACCTCACAGCCCATCATATTAGCATCCTCACTGGCCTCCTTGGCTGGAGTTAACCTCCCTCCCCTAACTCCTTCTGCCCTCTTCATGCACATTCTCTCTACCCTGTGCTTTATAAAATACAATTTGTATTCTGTTTCTCTGCTTTTGAAGAGCCCACTATGGTTTCCCAATGCCCATAGCATCAAGTCTAAGTCTATCCCAGGCCTAACTTTAAAGTCTCTCCAAGGTATTACCCCAAATCCGGCTTATCTAACCTTATTAGATTGGGAGTTCCTCTAGGGCTGAGCTTGTCTTTTGCCTTTCTTTGTATTCCCAAAGCTTAGCACAGTTCTTGGGACATGGTAAGCACTTAATAAATATTTTATTGACTGACTTCCCAGCTATTTCTCTTTCCTGGATAATGATTTATTTGGTTGAAGCTACATATGGCCTTCTAGGTCCTTGAGTGTGGCCTTTTGACTGAGTCCAAGGGCTGCACTTGAGGACCTAGAGGGCCAATGTGGCCTTGAGGTGGCAGGTTCCCCACCCCTGGAGAAGGCTTTCCTCTTTCCTTTCCACAACATAGACCAGGCAAATTCCAAGATGCCAAACTACCAGCCAGAAATTTGTGTGACTCACGTCACTAAACTAACAAATAATCATTTATTAAGTGCTTACTCTGTGCCACAATATTATATTATTGCATATTACGTTATCCTATAATACAACATTATTACTTACTACTATAATTTGTTTAGTCAATTGGTCATGTCTGACTCCTCATAAACTCATCTGGGGTTTTCTTGGCAGAGATACTAGAGTGCTTTGCCATTTCCTTCAGACGAGAAAACTGAGGCAAACATAGTTAAGTGTCTTGCCCAGGGTCACACAGATAGTGTCTGAGACAGGATTTAAATTCAGGACTTCTAGACTTCAAGTCCAACACTGTATCAGCTATGCCTACTGTAATCCTCCCGGGTCTCTACTTCTTGCTTTATCCCACAGGGTGGCTATGAAAAGCCTCCTGGATCTTGGAAGGGCATCGTATCCTCTTATCTCTCCATTCACTATGGGCCTTAATGATTGGAAGCTCCCTGAGGACAGAGACTTTCGATTTTTGTCTTTGTATTTCTGACACTTAGCTGGCAGTGGTGGCACAGAGTGTAGGTCCTGTAGTCACGAACAACTGATTTCAAATCTTGCCTTAGATATCATTAGCTGTGCAACCCTGGGCAAGTCACTTAACCCTGTTTACCTCAGTTTCTTCATCTGTAAAGTGAGCTGGAGAAGGAAATGGCAAACCTCTCCAATATCTTTGCCAAGAAAACCCCAAATGGGGTGATGAAGAGTCCAACATGAATGAAACAAATGGACGTCTCCAACACTTAGGAACACCATTGTGCACATGATAGGTACTTAACAATTGTTATTAACAATAACAATTATGCACACAATAACTGCTTAACATATTGTGTATATAATTGCATAATAATTGCTTAAGTTTTACACATAATAATTGTACACATAATAATTGCTTAATAATCATTTAATTGAATTCAGGAGGTGATGTGATATAGTAGAAAGCATTTGATCTGGAATTAGAGACCTTTTTTCAAAGCCCTCCTCTACCTCATACAGCTTACAACTTGTATGACCTTGAGTGAGTTACTTTTATTTAGGACTCAGTTTCCCCTTCTGTAAAATGAGGGGTTTGGGCTACATGATCTCTAAGATCCCTTTAAGCTCTAAGTCTATGATTCTGTGAATTCATAGGTTTTTTTCACTGACCAAGAGTCAAACTGAGCCTCCTTTCTGTACAACAATTGCCTCTGAAACATATGCTGCCCATCTGTAGGATAAGCATAATGACCACATTTCCCTTTGGTGGCAATCACATGATGAAATTCCAGTTGCTGGTAGCTGGGGAGATCCTTTGATTATTTGCATACTTTAACAGTCTGAGAGTATATCTTCCTGGAACTAGTGAATTGTAGGCCAATATAGTCTATGTGAACAATTCCCAAAGAAGGCAGTCTTTGCAAAGTATTCTTCCAATGTGGGTTTCCATCCAACGGGACCTTGGTCCAGCTCAGTTGCTCCACAAGCATTTATTAAGATCTACTATGTGCCACACACTTGGCAATCAGGGACAAAAACAAAACTGTCCCTGACTTCGAGGGGGTTATATTAAACGAAGGGAAATAACACCAGAAAAACAGAATAATAAGTACAAAATGGGGGATGCCTCAGAAACCTTAGTGCAATTTTAAACAATAATAGATTAGAACTGCACTAAGACTTTTGGGATACCCTCTATGCAGAAAATAAATAAAAAATAATTGCTGGTGTGGTTGGAAGGGCACTGACAGCTGAAGGACCAGGGAAGGACTCTTGTAGAAGGTGCCACTTGAATCATGTTAGTAATTCTATTTTGGTTTGAATTTAGGGGTCCTAATCTTCTTGGGTTGATAGAAAACACAATTCACAACTGTAGGGGTGGACATTATTATGAACCATATTTGAAAATAGTGAATTTTTTAATCATCTGTTACATAAACAGAAAGAAATTAATTTGTCATAGTTTCTACCTTGCAAAAGGTATCATAAGATTTAGAGCTGGAATTGGTTTTAGATATTATCTGGTTTGACCAACCCCCTTATTTTAAAGAGGAGGAAACTGATGACTAGGGGAGTTCAATGATTAGCCCAAGGTCACTGAGCTAGTTAGTGGCAAAACTGGGATTTGAACCCAGGCTTTTTGATTGCAAGGCCAGAGCATTTTCCTTTATGACATCTATTTTTTCTATGCTCTAGACCTGTCATTTCACTGGCATGAGGAACACTCAGGAATGAAACTCCATCTGTTAATGAAGATGGATACTTGTTTTCCAATTTATGAAGTTTTGGAGAATTATCTGGTGTTCCTGAAAGGTTAAGAGGCTTGCTTAGGTTTACATAGCCTAGAATCCGGCTCCAGTCTTGCTTGGAGAGGGGCTCAATTATGAAGGGCTTTGAATGCCGAGAGAGGCTTTCATATTTGACCTCAGATCCATATTAGCTGGGTGATCCTGTGCATGTCACTTAACCCTGTTTGCCTCAGTTTTCTCCTCTGTAAAATAAACTGGAGAAGGAAATGACAGACCACTCCAGTATCTTTGCCAAGAAAATCCTAAATAGGGTCATGAAGAGTCAGACATGACTGAACAACAATAAAAACTCACGATAAGGAACCATTGGAATTTATCTCATTTAAATTTAATAATCTTAAATTTCCAGTTTTCATATATAAAGTGATTTATGAAAAAATACATCAAAGAGATTATTGATCTACAAATTACTAAAATTATTGACAGTTTGTTGATTCACAGAATTGCTATACTCAACAGGTACAAGCTGTTTATTTTACAATGGTCTTCAACATGAGTCAATTGTTGTTTGCTTTCCATATTGGGTTGGGTTCTATAGAGCGGAGCCATCTTGGTGGAAGACAGTTCTCTTCTTCTGGTGTCATTATTGCAGTCAGCCTCAGACTGATTTGCTCTCCTCTGGCTCTGTTATAATATGCTGAACCGATCCTGGTCTGTCTGCCAAAATCAGACCATTCATCATGAAAACCTGTGCTTTGAAACTGCTGTAATTGGGTTTCAAAGTCATTAGGCTAACCCATCATTGAACAGCTTCTAAATTATTCCTTTCTAACTTCATCACTCAGATCTCAGAGACCTATTGAGCCTCACCCAGGAATACAATAGCACCCGTCACCTGCTTCTTCTCTTGTTATGTTGTCTCAGGGACATCTCACCTCAAGACTGGCTAGAGTGGGCCCCATTCATTGTACCCTAATGAAAATGGTGTGGGATCATGTCTTTATCAGTTAGTCATCAGAATTACCAGATTTCTAGCTGGTGAAATCTAGAGCTGACATTACAATTCAAATTGAATATTCAGAAAGAACAGCCAAAGCCAATTAATTTCTTTAAGTCAGCAACAATGATTTCTCCAAGGTGCACCCTCCCTCCTCCCCCATGCCTTGGGATTGTAGAGAGCCTTTTTCTTAGCTAATCTGTTTATTCAAAAAAAAATCCCCACATTAATTTATTTTCAGAAGCGTTAGTTTCTCTTCTCCCTTCCTCACACTATAGTCACTTCCTCTTAATGATGCCTTTCCCTATCGAAAATTCTTTTGTAATCCAGAAAGAAAATAACGTTTAAGCAGAACCTATTGAAGTTTAGACTGGGTCCAATAGTGTATGCACCACTCTATGTCTTCAGGCCCCGTCTCTAGACTGAGAAAAGAAAGGTGATTTCTTTTATCATGAATCTGATGCCCAGATTGTTCATGACAATTTATTGGCATTTGACAATCTTTTAGTGTTGTTATTGTTTCCACAATAGTCACTGCGTGTATGAGTATGTGTGTGTGTGTGTGTGTGTGTGTGAATGTGTGTGTGTGTGTGTGTGTGTATGTACATGCTCTTGGTTAGGCTGCCTCTGCCTCACTTCTCACATTCATCACATTTACTCAATGGAATTTTCAATTAGAATTTAGTAAGTGCCCCCTAGTTGAAAGACACTGTGTGATGCTGGACAAACCATTTACCCTCTCAGTGCCCAAGGCAGCTCTTTAAGACTAAATTGCTGAGCTGGTGCAGATCTGTATGGGTAGAGGAAGTGTCCTAATTGGGTGTTCTCTATACCAATGTAATTCCCATCCATGTGTTAGATGTTGCTAGTGCTTGGGAATAAAAAGAGAAGAAGAAGGCAGTCCCTGCCCTGAAGCAGGGTATATTCTGCTTGGGGATGCAACATCTGTGTAGATAAAGAAATTCACAATACATACACAGTAATTTCAAGGGTGATAGTGAGGACAGCCCTAACAACCCAAGTCATTGACTTCTTCCTTCCTTCCTTCCTTCCTTCCTTCCTTCCTTCCTTCCTTCCTTCCTTCCTTCCCTCTTTCCTCCCTCCCTCCCTCCCTTCCTCCCTTCCTTCCTTCCTTCCTCGCTTCCTTCCTTCCTTCCTCCTCCTTCCTCCCTTCTCCCTCCCTTCCTCTCCTTCCTCCCTTCCTTCCTTTCCTTCCTTCCTTCCCCTTCCTTCCTTCCTCCCTCCCTCCCTCCCTTCCTTCCTTCCTTCCTCCCTTCCTCCTTCCTTCCTTCCTTCCTTCCTTCCTTCCTTCCTTCCTTCCTTCCTTCCTTCCTTTCTTCCTTCCTTCCTTCCTCCCTCCCTCCCTCCCTCCCTCCCTCCTCCCTCTCCTTCCTTCCTTCCTTCCTTCCTTCCTTCCTTCCTCCTCCCTCCCTCCCTCCCTCCCTCCCCTCCCTCCCTCCCTCCTTCCTTCCTTCCTTCCTTCCTTCCTTCCTTCCTTCCTTCCTTCCTTCCTTCCTTCCTTCCTTCCTTCCTTCCTTCCTTCCTTCCTTCCTTCCTTCCTTCCTTCCTTCCTTCCTCACAACTCTGGTTTCATTGGTAGAGGGAACTCATGGTGAGGAAGCTTCCTTTACCAATGCAGATAGTCTCTTATTCTATAACTTAACAGTTTTAGGATATTGCCTGAAACACAGAGTAGTTAAATGACTTATCTAGGGTCGTGTAGTCAGCACTTGTGAGGCGTGGGACTTGAACTCACTTTTTGCTAGGGTCAGCTCTTTATCCATGATTGCTCTGACACTCTGGCTCTCATTTGTTATGGTGCAATGATATTCGATCACATTTATATACCCCTTTTTCCCCAGCCATTTCCCAATCAAGGAACACCCAGTTTGCTTCCATTTTTTTTCTTTTGGCTGCCACAAAGAGTGATGCTATGAATATTTTGTCACCAAAAGGGCCCTTTTCTTCATGGTTGGCCCCAAAGGGGATATTGCTGTATCATTACTTAATTTCTCTAAAATAATCTGGCTTCTAGTTGTGATTTTTTAGTTGATTACAAATCTTCTAGGAAATGCCAACCAAATTATGTTTCTGCTTTGCTTTGATCTTTAGCTCCGGAGAAGGCATCTGGTCTAACCACGGCTGTGTCCTCACAGAAGGGAACCTCAACTACTCCATCTGTCACTGTAATCACCTCACCAACTTTGCTATTCTGATGCAAGTGGTACCTTTGGAGGTAAGAACCCTTTGGTGAACAGCCTAATGTGATGGAACTTTCAAAGCCCTGCCTGGTATCTCTCTGGGCACAAGGACGGTTTGTTGTTTAAATAGGCAGGTGGCAATGAGCAATGGAAGACCTGCAGAACAGAGGGGACATGACAAGCAGGAGGCTTGGTCATCTGTGCACCTAATCTTTGCAGGTGTATAGAATGAGGACTGTTGGTCAAAGATCACTCTTTTAGTCATAGTCAGATTTATAGATGGTTCTGGCCAGTAGCATCATGTTCAGAAATGAAGGCCAATGACATAATGTCACAACCTTGGGGCAACCTTGAGGTTTGTTCCAAGGCATACTTTGGCTCCATGAGCAGGGGCTAGATGGCTAATGATAATAAGAATAAAAATAACAATCATAATAATGACAACTAGCATTTATGTGTGTACGAAGCACTTTTACAAATATGATCTCATCTGAACCTCACAACAACCTCGGGGAGGTAGGCGTTAATAATATCTCCATTGACACACAACCAGCCATTCTTTGGCACCTAGGCACTATGTTTGGTGCTGGTGGTACAAAGACAATAATGAGAGAGGCCCTGTCCTGAAGGATTTACATTCTACCAGGGTTATTGTCGAGGGGTGTGTGTGTGGAGGGGGATGTGGCATGTACACAGAGAAGTCAATAAAAAATCATCTTAGGGGGAGTCAGAGAAGGCTTCCTGTAGGAGGTGGCATCTAACTGAGGTGAGGAGGAATTCTGTTTCTGGCATGGAAGACAACTCATGCAATGATGTAGAAAATTGAGGTGAAATAATGAATTCAGATCAATTTGGCTGGATGTAGAGTGATAATAATAATTAAAATTAATGTAGCTTTTTACAGTTAGCAAAATGTTATATATGTATCTATACACACATGTACAGATACATATGTGTAAACACACACATACATGCATATTATATGTATACATATTTTATATACACGCATATGTATGTATAAATGTACATATATACATATGTGTAACTTGATCTTCAAAACAACCTTGTGACATAAATGCTATTAATCTCCCCATTTTACAGATAAAGAAATTGAGGCAGACAGAGGTTAATATGACTATTAAGTGTCAGGGGCAGGATTCAAACTTGGGTCTTCCTGATCCCAAGTTCAGTGCTCTACTATGCTAAGTTGTTTTTCAGTCATGTCTGATTCTTTGTGACCCCATTTGGGGTTTTCTTAGCAAACGTACTGGAGTGGTTTGCCATTTCCTTCTCCAGTGTATTTTACAGATGAGGAAATTGAGGCAAACAGTTAAGTGACCTGCCCAGGGTCACACAGCTAGCAAGTGTTTGAGGCCATATTTGAAGATGAGTCTTCCTGACTCCAGGCCTGATACTCTCTATCCACTGCACCACCTAAGTGCCCTGTGCCAAGTTACAATGAAATAAGTCTAAGAAGGTAGGTGAGAAGTAGGTTTAGAGACCTTTAAATGGCACTAAGGCTTTTTGAAGAGGGGAGTGACATGGTCAGCCCTTTGGCTAAGGAAGATGACTTCTGTTTCTATGTGAAGAATGGATTGAAGTGAGGAGAGGCTGGTAGTGGAGGTGAGAGATGATGAGTGTGGATTTTGATGGTGGCCATGTGAAAAGAGAGAAAGGGACAGATGCCCAAGATGTTACGAAGGTACAATCAACAAGACTTGGAAACTGATTGAATATGGCATACTGTGAGAGGGAGGGGAGACGGAGACTTCTTGAACAGACAAATGAAACTTGAGTTGTGAACCTGAATGAATAAATGTTAAGGAACTTGCCTATGGGCCCATAACTAATAAGTGTCAGATGCTCTTTCTGACTCAGAGTCTAACATTCTACTCACTAGGCCAGGCCAGGTGGTGTAGTGGATAGAGCTATGGCCCTAGAGCCAAGAAGACCTGAGTTCAAATCCAGCCTCAGACACTTATTCCATGTGTGACTCTGGGCAAGTCACTTTGCCGCTATTTGCCTCAGTTTCCTCATCTGTAAAAAACATTTGTAAAGTGCTTTGAAAACCTTAAAGCACTATACTAATGCTAACTATTATTATCATTATTGCCTAGCTATATTATTTTGCCATGTTGCTGCTGCTGCTAAGAAATATGGCCTAATGGGTAGTCAGCCTGGGAATTGAGAAGACCTGGGTGAACCCTGCCTCAGAGGTATACTGGCAGTGTGACATTGTGATTCTGACAAGTCTCAGGGTCCCAGGCAATTCTCTAAACCTAGAGGTTACATACCAGGTGTTGGTTGACATTAGAATAAGGATTTATCTCTATGGGACTTCCCTCAACAAAGAAATCACAGGTCTGTATGATGATGATGATGATGAAGATGGTGATACAGAAATTGCCTCTGTTTTATAGATGAGGAAACTGAGGCTTAGTAGGGTTAAATGACTTCATGTGTTAATATAAATGTGAACCATTGCTTTTAGAAATTTATTATTCTTCCTTTCAAGAACTGCCATGCCAAATACCCTTTTAACATGTAAAATAAATTTTAACATGGTATTCATTTTTTTTCAAGTAATTGTAAAATAAATTTGTATTCAGCCAACAAATAATGCCAACAGTGAGTAATCGTTGCCTAGAGTGAATGCATAGCAAATAAAATGTAAGGCCGGTATAAAAACAAATGGCACAGAAAGACAACATGTGCAGAAATCAGATAAAGGCAGCAGCTGTGAGCGGCACTTATGGGCTACGTTGGAGGACAGGTCTGAGAGTTGGGAAAGACCTGAGTTCAGGTGTGTGATCCTAGGCAAGTCACTTGGTCTTAGTCTCTGTTTCCTTATCTGTAAAGAGGGGATAATAACAGGATCACTTACCTCCCAGGCTGGTGGTGAGGATAAAATGAGATAACACAGCTTTGCAAACCATAAGCATTACATAAATACTGCTATTATTATTATTACATAAATATATAACAATATTCACTAAATCACTGCCACATGCTCATAAATACCATCTTGCCAAATATATCCTGCGGGTTAATACATTAATCTTTGCATTCAGGCAGCCAGTCCTGGTCCCTCTCAAAGCCAGCATCTTCTCTCAGAGTCTCAGTTTCTTCTGTGTACATCACGTATGCAGAGATTTTGGTTTGTGTGCCATCTGTGAGCTCCTTGAGGGCAGGGCAAGGACTGCTCTTGCCTTTCTTTGAATCCCTAGCATTTAGGAGATATTCTCACTTGCTTACGAAATTGTGTTCTCATGGTTCAGTTGTGTCCAAATGTTTATGTTCTTGTGGGCCACAATACGACAATATTGTCCATATGGTTTTCTTGGCAAAGATACTACAGTGGTTTGCCATTTCCTTCTCTAGCTCATTTTACAGATGAGGAAACTGAGGCAGAGGTTAAGTGTCTTCCTCAAGGTCACACAGTTAGTATCTGAGGCTGGTTTTGAACTCAAGTCTTTCTGACTCCAGGCCTGGTGCTCTATCCACTGAGCTACCTTGCTGGCTCCTGTCAAATAGTACATACTTAATAAAATGACTTGACTTGTCAGGCCATTAGAATTTAGGAGGCACAATGGGTTGAAGATGAGAAGGAATATCCAAGGTAGGGATGGGGGGATAATCTTGGAAAAGTCACCCATAAGAAAGGAGGTAATTTGGGAGCCTGGGGAACTTTTTGAGGAGACGGACAGCAGCATAGGGCATTGGGAGGACAGCTGGAGAGCAGCTGAATGGGGAGATGTTAGGGTGCCAAGGACAACCTTTATTAATGTTGATTTTTTTTTTAACCAGGAGAGGGCTTGAGCTATAATTAGCTTTTATAGCCATCTGGCACAGAGGGAGAGCTTGATAAATGATTGTTGACTGGCTAGCTGGCTAGCCACTGTAGAACAAGGAAACCATGGGAGATAATATTTTATAATTATTAATCCACACTTAGGTAAAGGACCATGTTAGCTTATCCTCACTGTTCCTTTTAACTCTGGCACTCTGAATCTAAGAATAGGGCCAGAAACTTTTGGTGGATTTAGTCCTTGGCTGAAGGATCATATCATATCAATACTTAAAGAAACTAATTCAGAAATGGCAAACCACTCCAGTATCTTTGCCAAGAAAACCCCAAACAGGGGCTCAAAGAGTCAGACATAACTAAAAAATGACTGGACAACATTCAACTGTAAGGTCAAATACCGATGCTGACATTTACATACTCTGGTCACATAATGAGAAGATGAGACTCATTGGAAAAGACCTTAATGTTGGGAAAGATTGAAGGCAAAAGGAGACAGGGACGGGAGAGGATGAGATGGATAGGTAGTGTCATGGAAACAATGAACATGAACTTGGGCAGACTTTGAGACATAGTGGAGGATAGAAGGGCCAGGCATGCTGTGGTCTACGGGGTCATAAAGAGTCATACATGACTGAACAAAAGCAACAAGAACAGAGGGATCATGGCAGCATCTGGATAGCACCATGGCTATATAGAGAAAAGGCACTGCAAAGACCATCTAGTGCCATTTTATACAGAAGGACCCTGAGGTCTCAAGATATAAAGTTATTCGTTCAAGGTCACACAGATAGTAAATGTAAAGTAACACAAAAGTCAGAATTCAAACCCAGGACTTCTGCTTCCAATACTTTGTTCCATAGCACCCCAGTCCCTCTATTAGTAGTGAATGGAATTAACTCAACTGGGTAAGATAGAATCCTAGACTGAGGTCTAGAAAGGACCAAAGAGGTCATCTGGTTTAGTGTCATAGATCTGAGGCTAGAAGGGACCTTAGAGGTGATCTCTTTCAACCCTTCCGTTTTACAGATGGGAAGACTGAGGTCCAGGGAGATTTTGGTGACTTGCTCTAAGTTACCACTTTGGAAATGGAATTTGAACTCAACTCCTTTGAAAACAGAGCCAGTGAATCAAATGAAACAACATGTGTACAGCGCTTTGCCACATTAAGGTGCTCTATAAATACAAGCTCTAATAACTTGTACTGGGCCACATTTCCTCCCTCTGTTA